TTTTTTTGTGTCTTTCAAGGGGTTAGTAGGATAGTTTATCGACGCTTTGAGATTTTTTTTTTTTTTTTTTTTTAAGGTTTTATTGGCTCTAGTGGCCTTTATTTGATAGTTAGTTGACAGGAAAGTGGGTCATGAGAGAGAGGGAAGACATGTGACAAAGGTCGCCAGGCCGGGAATCGAACCTGTGACGGCCACGTCGAGGACTGAGGCCTCCATATGTGGACTGTGCTTAACCCCTGCGCCACCACAGCACAGCCCATATTTCAGGAGTTTTAAACGTCCAGCAGTAGCAGTTTTGTTTCCCAGCGATGGGAACTTGCGAGGCAACTGATATGAAATTATTATAATACAGTTATTTGTAATAACTGTATTATAAAGGAGTATTTTAAAGAATTTTCTGTTTTTGTTTTAGTTTATGTTATTACACACCCGGTAACAAAATGAACTATAAGAGTTTAACTTTTATAGACACAATAAGTTATATTGAATTCTCTCAATTTCAGCAAAAATATAAACTATTCGGAAAACTCAGTGCATTTTATTGAGTCTGTATAAATTTGGTTTTCACTACTTACATGTAGATTTCTCCTTTTGTGTGCACATGTGCGTGGGAAGTTGTGTTTTCTACACTTTTGTTAAAGAAATGTGTTTATGAGGAAAATATTTTTGAACAGCGAAAGAAGGCATCGATTCTGATTTACCTAATTAAATACAAGCTTCTGATGCATTACAGAAAAGTACGAGATGCTACAGGTGTCGACATCAACATGCGTGTGGGCGTGCATTCAGGAAATGTCCTGTGTGGCGTTATTGGACTTCAAAAATGGCAGTATGATGTTTGGTCACATGACGTTACACTGGCCAATCATATGGAGGCAGGAGGTGTACCAGGGTGAGTAAAAAAAAAAAAAGAAACCTTGCTGTGGTAAATGTTCCATAAACTGATGGCTTTACAGTTTGATTCATCTATTAGGTCAAATTCTCTCGGTTGCAATATTCCTACTATTATTAAATATTACCAATAAATAAATGACTCGTCAATTCATTGCTAGGCGCGTTCACATCACATCAGTGACGCTGGAGCACCTTAATGGTGCTTATAAGGTCGAGGATGGAGATGGACAGGAGAGAGACCCTTACCTAAAGGAACATGGTGTCGTCACTTATCTTGTCATCAACCCAAAGGTACAGGACTTCCACTGAACGAACGTAATGCGAGGCAGTTGAGAAAATGCTTTAAAGTCCCATTACTTCCATTCAGGTGGAGCGTCGGAGCCCGCAGCATTATTATCGGCCCAGACACACTCTGGATGGAGCTAAAATGAGAGCCTCAGTCAGGATGACCCGCTACCTGGAGTCGTGGGGAGCAGCCAAGCCCTTTGCTAACCTGCACCACAGAGACAGCATGACAAACGAGAATGGCAAGATTAGCACCTCTGTGTGTATTTTTTATTTTTATGTTTTTCCATTCTAAACCAATGCCATTATGATGAGCGGTACATTTGTTGATGCCAACCTATCCTCTCCCTCTCTTGCTTTGTTTTAAGGTCGTGCCGAAGGGACAGTATCATTTCCAGAGTAGACCGGAACGGTATAAGCTCTGCTTTTATCAGTTAAACATTTATGCTAAGTTGCCCGTTGACTACATTTTCACTAAAGGCCTCGTTGTCACAGAACATATTTTCTTCCTGGAACTTTTTCTTTCCCTGTAAAGGACAAAGTCTCAGAAGAAACGGTTTGAAGAGGAATTCAATGAACGGATGATCAGGACGTTTGACGGAATAAATTCGCAAAAGTAAGTGTTTTTGAAAACCCTATTTTCATCGAACGCATTATAATCATAAAACGTTCTTGTCCGTGTTATATCCAGGGTTTCTACACCTTCCAGAAAAGTCTGAACTTTGATTTTATCATATTATAGGTCTTGCTAAGTATCCTTTTGAGTCACGTGTATTGTTTTTAAGTGAAAACGTCTGCTTTTGATTTCCCATATCTGAGCTTTAGTTTGACATTTGGCTATGTCATCCACTCTCGCTTATATTCTCTGTTTTCCCTGAAGTTCACAGTCAATGCAGTCATCTACCAGGAAACTTTCTTCTCCAGACAGCCTTTATAGAGACACTGATTTTATTTTCCAGCAGGACTTAGCGGCTGCCCTGTGGCACCAGGTGGCTCAGTGGCAGAGCAGGTGTACAGAGACCACTGTAGTGCCAAAGAAAGGACTTGGCAGCTGACTGCTCTGCCAAAGTAGTGGCGCTGTGCTTCATTTCTCCCTTATTCTGAAATGAGAGACAAAAAATATTGAACATTTTTTACAATACTAAAATTTTGCTAGGTGTACTTGTACAGATAATGGATCCTGCATACTTTCAAGGCAAATGTTTTAACATATACAGTAATTATTTTAAGTATCAGTTATATGACCATTTACTTTTAGGGTCTTTTCTATTTTGTCCAGTTATTTATTTATTTATTTATTTTTTTTTATGCTTGACTGTATTTTGTGTGACTTTTTTTTTCCTAGACAGTGGCTCAAGTCTGAGGACATTCAACGAATATCGCTGTTTTTTCACAACAGATCCTTGGAGAAAGAGGTAAACAGGGATCAGCCGCTGTCTGGGTGAAATCGATTACATAATGCATCAAAAATGGTCCCTTTTCGCTACATTTGCCTGCATTCAGTCTAAGATGTCATTGTAAAAATGCTGTCTGAGTACACAGTTGCAAAGCTGCTTAAAAAGATAAACAATTGTTGACACAATGAGTTTTTCCATTTTATTTTCTTTTGTCCTTTTTAGTACAGAGCAACAACCTTGCCTGCCTTTAAATACTACGTCACCTGTGCTTGTTTGATCTTTTTCTGCATTTTTGTCGTGCAGATCTTGGTCCTGCCAAAGTGAGTGACCTTTAATTCGTTATATATAATGTTTATTAGTCCATGCCATTGCAGAGCTAATTTCTGCATTTGTTTCTTTTTCAGAACGGCCGTTTTGGGAATATCATTTGGGATGGCCTTCCTCACCCTTTCCTTGATAATCTTCATATGTTTCGTTGGACACCTATTGGTGAGTGACGTCATTTTTCCTGTGTTCAGTTAAAACAAACATGTAGGCTTTGACAAGCCTACAAAGTGCTGTAGAGGAAAAAAGAGCTGCTTGTTAGAAGAAGAGTCATATCCACTAATAGAGTTGATCTTTAATCACTCTTGAAATAGTCAATAAAAATGTGCTACTCCCTGGTTTATATTAGTGCCAGGAAGTGACTATTCTTGAATGGTTTCCAGTCATCATTGTTTATTATCCGGTTCAGTTACTGGCCGTTTTGGTCTTTGAGGTGTAAATGGTTTTTGGACATCAGTAGCAGTACTAACAATCTTGTATTGCTATTTTCCTTGGAAATTAAACACAGGACGATATGAGCCTGTAGCCAACCATTGTTGTCTTTACTTAGTTGAGCTGGAGAAAACGGTGAGTTGTTGCTCAGGTTCAAAACCAGTGTTGATGCATTTTGTGTATTTGTATGAGCCATTGTTCTTGCATGACTGTCCTTGGATTTTTTTCCCCCTCCTAGTGTCATCAAAATAATGATAGGAAACAAGTTTTAGCCATTGCAGTTGGGTTATGCGCATTGACTATGAACAGTCAGCACTTTTGCTTATGATCCCCAGCAGCTGAATAAATCTTAGTTTGGAGAATTAGGCAAAAGTTCTCACGTGGGAGATGCATAAATAATAAAATGAATAATGTCAGTCTGTTAAAAGTATTGCAGCATTATGAAAAATCATGAAGCATTCTTCGACGGTGGTGGCAGTGAGGGTATTTCCAGAGGGTTGAATTAATAGGCCAAGGTGTGTACAGCAAAATATTTTGTAAGATGTGGCACGTCTGCATGCTGTGTCTAAGATGATGCAGCAGAATCAAATATTCCCTTTTTTTTTTTTTTTTTGTCGGGGCAGGGCAAAGGTACAAGAAGAGGAGATTGAACAAGCCGAGGAGACAATTTAGTACGATAGAAATCCGCTCGACATTTTTTTACTGAAACTGCAAAAACTTCTGAAAGACCAGGATGCAAATGCAGGGACAAAAAAAAAAAAAAAAAAAAAAAAAAAGGTTTTAAAAAAATAAAAGGTAATGTAAAATTTAAACGACTCCAGACTTACACATGTTGTTGTTCCCCCTGTTTTCTGAATGTTTTGTTCTTTAGCTCTGAACTCTGGTCTCTCTGAATGTTCCCTGAAAACTAACACAGCAGCTCTCCGTATCAAAAGTTAAACCTTGCAACATTAGTTTGTTTTTTTTATTATTATTTTTCAGTTATGTTTTACTTTGCAAAGTTTCCCTCTGGGATATCTGTTTTTGTGGAACACCCATATGCTTTTGAAAGGTTATTTAAGGTCTTTGTAGGATTGTATGTTTAGGTTTTTAGCAGCCGTTTCTCAAATAGAAACCAAATAAAAACCAACCAATAGAATGCCAAATAGAAGCTGCCCTTCACTGCATGTGGTTAGCAATGAGTCGCTTAATAGTGGGCACGTTTCAGGAAACGTTTTCTTTCACATACAAAATGTGTTAAGTTCAGACGTAAACTTTTGAATAGACTAATTCTATTAATCCAACATTGCATGTATTTGCATATTTAAAAAAAAAAAAAAAAAGAAAATCATTTTTTAGTTTACAAGTGTATTGTGCTTTGTACCAGATCTGCAGAATGGTTGGTGTAAACGCTTGTTTAAGTTCAGAATTCTGGTTTTCATATCTTTTTAAGTGCAGCTAATTTACACTGACAGGGTGCTCGCCTGCTGTTTTTCTTCCTTATTGAACACAGTCATAGGTTGACCATTAAAAGGAAAAGCTGCAATTCTTAAAGTGAGCAGCCACAGTACTGTTATTAATGAAAGGTAAGGTGAAGTGCATTGTTTGTCTCCAAGTAGTTAAAATTGTACGAGCTGAAGAACTGAGAAAGTTTGACAGGCCCAAACTGTGATTAGCAGATTGTGGGGTTGGAATATCTCCATGGGGTTGTTCTCCATTTGTAGTCATCAGCGGCAATCAAAGGTGGTTCAAAAAAGATAAAGTTGTGAAAAGGTTTAATGCTGGTAGAAAGGTGCCAGAATATACAGTGCATTTCAGGTTGTTGCATTTAAACCTGCAGTGGGGGTTTGGGGAGGGTGGGAGGGGGGTCATGCATGACTGGGCATCAGAACTGGATCAAAGAGCGATGGGAGAAAGTGAGTCGTATTTCTTTCACGTGGTGTGACTGGCAGAAAGTTCAGCTGGTAGACGCTACGATTCAGTTATTTTGCTTTTTTCCATCCTTGTGGATGGTGTGATTCTTTGGACAATGTTCTGCTGGGAAACCTTGGCTTTTCTCATTTAATGTGTATGTTATTTTGATATACTTCTTGATCACTCTTCTTTAGGCCTTTCTTTTATTTGGAGCTGTATTCTCTGATGGTTGTGGCTGTTCAGAAACGGTTTGAAGAGCACATCAACAAGCTGTGGAAGTGTTGACTTGGCCTCCAAAAATGTTCAGAACATAGTTCAGTCAACATTGTCTGGGATGATTTGGGTAAACAAGTTCAGCCCATCGAGGCTCCAGCTTGTAATTTACAGGACATAAAGGATCTTGTGCTGACGGCCCTGTACCAGAAACCACAGCAAACATTTGATCTAGAGGACTAAGGCCTCAACACTTCAGGGCTATTTTGGCAGCAAAAGAGGGACCAACACACTGTTGTGGACATGGGTTTAATGTTATGGCTCCTTGGTGTGTAGTTGATGCATTTTGTGTTATTTAGCACTGAAATCAAAAAGCCATCTACCTGGTCTACATTTTAAGTTATTACTAGTCTGGTACGTAATGCATTGTGGAATTATTGGCATGTTGGAACGTGATGTACATCCTTGAGCTACTCAAACTTATTAAAAATATATATATAATCATTTCCTCACTGTTCCACAATAAATCACACTAAGCTGCAGTTCACAGTGTTGTAAAAAAAAAAAAAAAAGAAAGTAAATCAATTGATTGACACGCGGTTTCATTCCATGAGTAAAAGGCTTAGCAATAAACATTATATAGACACAATAAAACCCTGTTCAGTGAAAGCTATGAAACAGTAAGAAGTGTTGAAATTTCTCCCAAAAAAGCAATCTTACATACAAACAGCCCGGTAAAAAAAAAAAAAAAAAAAAGAAAAAGAAAAAAAAAGAGGAGGGAATTCTGTTGATATTCGAATAACTATTTGCTGATTTTGATTTTGTTTCAAAGTGTAATCACATGTGCTAATTTTGTGCCACGGTTTCCACTCGTCTTGAAAAACGATGAAAGGGTAGAATTACTTGAAAAGCCATCTGAAGCTGTGGGTCTCTTAAAATGTTTGGATCGGTGCTGCTGAAGCATTTAAATCAGATTCAGTGAAAAGAACTGTAATATATTTCACCCCTGAGCCAGTAAATAGTAGTGTGTTGGTTTTCCTCATCCACATATATAACTTGCACTATTTAACTTTTAAAACTACCAGTTGTGTTTGATCTGTGGGGTCTTTCTGTTCTGTGGCTGTAAAATCCTGTGGCGTGCCAAGCTTGATCCCGTCTTGTGTTTGTGTTTGTGCTTACAGCACTGCAATAAAAGTGCATCTACTTCTTGGATGTGGCTGCTGAGGTCATCAGTTATTATTGCCAACAAGCCTTGGCCCCGCATCACTCTCACCATGACAACCACTGCTCTAATACTCATAATGGCAGTCATCAACATGGTAAGCTTTTATGTGCAGGTACTGCTCTAAGAAAGAAGTTACACCTCGTCGACTTCACACCCTATGAAGTATCAGTCTTAAAAACGTCGCCCTATTTTTTGTGCGACTCTAGTAATATTAGAGCGGAATGGAGTTAATGTTTTATGCGTGATTTAAATAAACAGATTTTGTTGTTATGGCTTTTAAAGAAAAATAAGCACATTTCCCTTTAAAAAAAATGGTATATACGTATATTCATGAGTACTATATCTTCACTGCTCATATCCATGTCGACCTTATTTCCCAACACTGATAAGAGGACAATATATAGCATGTTTATTGCTCATTACTCATCAATTTATAGGTGTGTCTGATTGAGTTTTACTTTTTTGGAGACTAAAGACGAATACATAAAGGCTCCGACGAAGGGGGGGAGCAGTAGCCTGAGGCGTGAGACGGGGCTGGCTGTGTGATAAAACACGGTGTCAGGACCCCTGGGTTAGACCTTCACACAAATCGATTCCAGAGATTATAATCATGTTTTGCGTCCGACACGGGTCAGACGCTCAGGGCGGGTGAACCAAATTATCTACCCTTTGCTCAGTGGGACAGCAATCCTTGTTTTATCCTGCAGGTTCCCATTAATGGACATTATTGAATGGTTGTCACAATTGGCCTCTAACAAGATTGTATTTTTGTCCTGCAAGTCTTAATTCTGGCTTGTTCTTCTTATACACATATACCGACGAGAAAAGCACACAGATGAACTGTTTTATTGTCTGTTTTTTTGTTTTGTTTTCTTTACTTTTGCAAGGAAGCAATAATACGTTTTAATGTTTGATTTTCATCTAGTTCTTTTTGGAAGACGACATATCACCTCCGGTTCTGCTTTACAACTCCTCTAACGAAACGCTGCTTTACCCTACTGGGCAGCTTATAAACTTCTCGGGCAAAAACAATTATTACCTCCCCGTAAGTGTGTGCAAATCAATTTTTATGAGAATAATGGTCATTGTTTCTCTATTTCTTGCTTTCATTATTTTCATTATGCTGGAATTAATCTCCATCTCCGTCTGTCAAACCCTCTGTGCTGCTCAGTATTTAATTTACAGCTGCATCCTGGGCCTGATCTCTTGCTCGGTGTTTCTGAGGATAAACTATGAGCTGAAGATGATTATAATGTTGACCGCAGTGGTGATCTACAACATTATTATTCTACAAACACATGCCTCTCTGCTGGACGAGTACAGCAGATTCCTGTACAAGACCGAAAGCATCGACAGGTAGGTGGAAGGAATGTACGTGAGGCAATCATTAGAAGGCAAAGCAACAAACTTCTGTCTGTTGCACACCTCATTACGTAAGCCTCATTACAGAAAGAAAACGGCTCTAGTACAAGGTTCATTATGTTCTGTTAATTACTTAATAACAATAAAAAAAAACACGTAGCAGATTAGAGGTAAATATCAGGCGAAACCACATTAAAATAAAGCAAACTAAACATTTTCATCAAATTAGTGATCCGGGAGTCTTGAACTGCATGTTTTGAACTGCAGCTTGGAGACTGGTGGGTTTAAACACATCTACAAAAATGTACAGCTCTGGAAGAGCCCTTCTGAGTCTCGGTGAAAAATTCAGTTTATGTATGCCAGCTGGACATCAAGCACACGTTGGCATCTCTCGCCAGTGATTAAATGGGAATTAAGCCCGAGTGACATACTGCAGGCATTCATAATAGGTGAATGCATCACACTCCCATTTTACTCATTTCATGCGTTTTACAGTGTCAGAGTGCATCAGGAAATTGGTTGCTTCTAAAGGTTAGCAGAACAGTGCACGACTTATGAATGAAACTAGTTATTATATGACAAAGTTTATTGTTTCCTATACTTTGGATGAACGGTGTAATAGTTGGCGTATTGTGTCATGGTACATTACCTTAGCCATAATTCCAGCATTTAATTCATTTCTACAAATGAAAGTTAAATACTCCGTCTAAAGTCCAGGAGTTTCCCCCCTAAGTTGTGAAACCGTCTGAATTATTCAGCTTGTTGATGTCAGCAAATATTCATCAGTGCTGACAGAGTGTCTGCATAGTGTAGCTTGAGATGCGGCTGTGTCATTGTTGAATTAATGCAGCAGGATTTGAGTGACACTTGTTTATGTTCTGTTGGAATATATGTGCAGAATGTACAGGATCTCTTCTTTCTTTTTATATGTGTGGCAGCCTGGTGATGATGCTGCATATAGCTTCAGATTTACAAAAGTGCGATGCTGCAGCTTCATTTACCCAATAGATCATTTATCCAGTAGGCAGATAATTTCCCAATGCCATCAAAGAAAATGTCCAATGGAGTAACTGGGGGTGCTAATGAATAAAGATGGATGTGAAGTTCTCATATTGAGGTGGCTGATATTATTGTCATGAGATATGACATCGTTTGTAGTTCAGTCCCTTAGAAAATCCCGCTGGCATCAATGAGAATTTTTTTAAATAATAAAAAAACTGAATTAATCTTGCATGTATATATTGATCCGATGACTTGCCTTATGATTAATGTGGCGGAAACTTGAACAGAGTCTCCCAATTTGGAAAATATGACTTGAGAGAGGCCATAATTCATAAAAAGCCAGGGAGCTGATGAAGACCTAACTCAACCAAATTTGAATAAGTCCCCTTTCTGTAGATATTCAATGTATCTTCTTTGCTATCTGCTGAATAGCCTTCATGTTTAACATTCCTTTAGTTTCCCAGCATTACAATGTCAGCATATATGTGCAACTTCATGTATGTCATTCTTTTTTTTCATTCATGGTGCACGTTCTTACATAACACGATATGAGTTGTTATGGTTTTAGTGGAAAATGTTGGTTTATGTCTCAGTTTTTCAAGCACATAACAGGTTTTAGAATTGAACATGCCAGGTGTAAAAACACATTAGAAAAGCCTCGGCTTCACTCTAGCTGAAATGCACCTAAGTAACCACTATCTTTGTTACCGTGTCCTTGTCATGAGCTGATTACTTCTATTCAGATCACATTTTTCCATTTATATTGTAAAAAGGAATGAACTGATTGGGCAATGCTATTTTTTTCATGATTTCTGGTAAGCTGAGAGTTAGACTGGAACAGGGATTCCCGAATGATACAAGATATGTTTGCATTAAAGAAGACGCAGTAGTCCTCTGTTGGAACTTCGTTTTGATTTTGAGAAGTAGCTGTAGCGAACGACCGTGCACCATTACAGTGGAAAGCAGTCAGTAAAATGTCAATAGTAAACAAGCTCGCAGCAAAGCAGAATTGACAGTCAAGACTGAGTGGCAGCTCAAAATAAAACGCTCTGCTAAGCATTCATAAAGCGCGTCAGTGTTGATTGTGATCTTGATTTGTAATTAGCTTAATCTCATCATTTTCTCTTTTAATTTTTCGCTCGCTCTTCATTAATCCGTTTTCATTAGTTAGCTTTGCTATTATCTGCGAAATGTCTAACAAACACAATGTTTTTCACTTCTTTGCTCCTGAAGACCAGGAGTTCTCAAGGACCTGAAGACTATGGGCTCTATCTCTCTCTTCATCTTCTTCATCACACTGCTCGTCCTTGCTAGACAGGTAAGCTTCGATTTGATTTAAATGAGCCGATGCTCAGCTGATGCACAGCTTTTAAAACACGTCCCAGAATACACCTGCACCTTTTTTTTTCCTGTGTGTACTTGTTTGTTTATGCAACTAAGCTTTTTTCAGTCTAAAAACATTTTTCTCGTTTCCTTTCAATCCATTCTTCCTGCTCTGTGCTCCCTATTCCAAATATAGCTTTGTCTTCCTAACTCCCTTTCTGCGTCACTCCATTGTTTTCCTTAGTCAGACTATTTTTATTTAAATGCTCAGAATTACCCATACACAAAGTTAATGAGGCCCCTGGTTCGTTTTTATTTTTTTCTTTTCTTTTTAAGACACACATTAAGTTGTTTGCCTAATTACAATCTATGGGATAGTTTGTCATGATTGTTCATCTTCTCCCAGAACATCAGGCAAACAAGTCAGGAAACTAAATCTGAAAATCATTCATCACAACATCAACTTATTTTTGCCTATAATTACTCCGTCACAGAGTAATTAGAATCCATCAACTGTACTAGATTCATAATTCCTGAATTTCAAACCAGAGATGGGACTAAGGATGCTTTCTGAGCATCCTTATTGTTTGATGTATTCATACTAGGTAAAACATTAGAACATTAGCATTCCTGTGGATTCTAAAGAGGCTTTAGTTTCCCTCAAAGGTATGCCACCAGGTTTCAGAGAGCTACACTGAAGTAACCACCTCATTTTTGTTTATTTTCACAATGTCTCATGTTACTTCAAAGGGTTTTTTTTTTTTTACCAGAATAATGTGGGTTAATGTGATGGATTACCACCAAATAGTACGCAATTGCGAAGAGTAAAAGACATGATAGATGGATTTATGGACTTATGGATTAGTGCGGGCTTTGCGCCTTTATAGACTGAAATGTGTGCTCATTGAAATAACTCAGATATTCCAGATAGTTTGGATAGAGATCATATCCATCAGAGACCATCGGTTATTAGGTTTCGAACTTGGCTCATTCCTCTGTTTTAATTTGAAAAACTATTCTTTTCAATTAAATATTCAATCTGTGATTAATCCATGATGTGCCCCTTGTTGTTGCATCATATTTAACAAACTAAATGTTTCGAGTGCGAAAGACTTGACTACATACATTATTCCGACCAGAGAATATCACACACCGAGTGTGTCCTTTATTGGATTCTTCACACATCATAAAAAAAAAAGACTTTTTGAAGGGATAACAGATCATTCAAACAAACCTCCACTGATTACCGCTTCCACTGCGATTGTTTTTTTTTCTAATGGCAGAACTGAAACTGACTTGTCTTCAGTGTTGCTGTCCATATTTATGTCAGATTCTGTTTTTCTGTGCTTCCTGGAAGCAAGCTTTACAGCTGTACCTCCAGTCTCTTCACCTCTGTGTCCTCTTGTAACAGAATGAATATTACTGTAGGTTGGACTTTCTCTGGAAGAACAAGTTTAAGAGAGAATGTGAGGAAATAGAAACGATGGAGAACCTCAACCGGGTTTTGCTCGAGAACGTCCTGCCTGCACACGTCGCGGAACACTTTTTGGCTCGCAACTGGAAAAATGAGGTTGGCATTTGTTTTCCTATTTGCCCATGATATATTTGTATCATGACAAACATGCAAACTGTTCACTACTTCTATGCAATCCATCCTAAAATTAAGTTATCTCTCTTTTTCCCCCCACACAATATTTCTTAAAAAACTTGTGCATTTGCTTGAAAAACTTTTTACCCGACAGACAAAAAACAAAACAAAACAAAAAAAACAGAGAAATTGACAACTTGTGCAACTCATCCGTTGTCCTGCAGGATCTGTACCACCAGTCTTATGACGTGGTGTGCGTCATGTTTGCCTCAATCCCAGACTTTAAAGAGTTCTACACTGAATCCGACGTCAACAAGGAGGGATTAGAGTGTCTAAGGCTTCTCAATGAAATCATTGCCGACTTTGATGAGGTAAATTACCATCGGTTAGAATTAACACAACATGCGCCTCATGGGTGTGATCTTTATTTGTTGTTAATATTTTATCATTTCATGTTTTTTTGTGTGCAGCTCCTTTCCAAGCCTAAATTCAGTGGCGTCGAGAAAATAAAGACCATCGGCAGCACTTATATGGCAGCTACTGGACTGAATACATCGTCTGTGACAGAGTTCACTACCCAGGTAGACGACTTCTTCTTATTTATGTTGTTTACCTGACTGCCATTAAACATGCTGCTCTGCAGTAAAAAGCATAGTGTAAGTGGCGTTTTCTTGCAGGAGGATGACAGACAGTATATGCACTTAGGAACTATGGTGGAGTTTGCATTTGCCTTGGTGGGAAAGCTGGATGTCATCAACAAACACTCATTCAATGACTTTAAACTCAGAGTCGGTGAGTATCGCAGAGAATAAAACAAAGACTGTGTGAATGTAATTTAGTCTAAATGGAGGTAAATCTCAATAAATTAAAATACCATTAAAAGTTTGTTTATTTTTGTAGCTCAATTCAAAACGTGTAACTCGCACAGGGGGGGATATATTTCAAGTGTTTTATTTATTTTAATTCAATGACTTTAAACTACAGGTAAAAAGAAAAAAAAACAGCTTAGTTTCTCCAAAAATTTAAATATTACTGAAGACCAGTATTAAAGGATTTATCTCCCAACACAGAATCTGTATGGTCTACAGGAAGACTGCTGGTCCAGCAGTTGTCCAGCTGACGGTCATTCACACTCTCCACAAGGAGGGTAAGACAGAAGGAGCAATTGTTGAAGAAACTGACTCGTCAGTGTGCTGTATGCAACCATAACAGTGGAAAGTTAATTGGGGGAGGAAATTAACTCCCTGAAATTAACTCCCTGAGAGGACCTGTAATCAATGTTTCAAGAACCAGGTCAGGTCAATGAATCCAATGTATTACAACTGTCGCTTTCCTCATGCGGAGCCTCTTGTGAGCCAGAAACAACTTTAAAAGTGTCTTACCAAGACCGAAGGAGAGCAGTCGAGTCTTTTTTGGGTGAAAACAAATTTTCTATCTCACTAGGAAGATCAAGATCCCAGTGTCTTGAGGACTTTTATTGCTCTTGGCTAATATTTTCACAAACCAGAATTAATGCTTGAAATATATTACGGTTTGACCTTAGGTACTTAACCCTCCCGCAGGTCTTAAGAGATGAGGCATTTGGACCCCACGAGCTTTTTACTCTGTGCGTGGTTCAGTGGGGTCGCACAGACCCCATGTGTGCTTTTACAAGTTTTTTTGTGTGTGGTTTTGGGAACTGACAATCTGACGGGACACCCCCATCCTGCTTCCCAAATGTGTAACCATGACATCTACTGCGGTCCTCCTGAGTGTCGATGTAAGAACACTGTCGATGTAAGGGTTAAGTAACTTTGTGATGCTCTTTCTTAAGTTGCACCTGTAGTTTTTTTTTTTTTTTTTCTGTCCCATTGCTGTTCCTAAAAGTCATAGTAACCTCAGAGCAATTTAATCATATTTTTCCAGACATGACCAGTAAAATATCACATAACAATGATGCTGTTTAGCAGAGATTGATAGAGAAAGGTTAGGAGAGTTTTACAAGTACTGTCTTTTCTGCTCAGCATAAGATGTGTTCAAAGTAATCCATTTAAACTTAAACTTGCTATTGTGTACACTCCATTGCACCGAGTGGTAAATGTCACGGAAATGTGATTTTACCCCCTTCCCGTCCTGCCAAAATAGCTAATGTCTCTGCAGCGACCGTACGCTAAACACCACTGTTCTGAAAAAGTCATGGTCTTGGTCGGGAAGAGAGGCACGTCCAAGCTCCCTGCGAGCAGTAAGACTTAGTTTGCTACTTCCAACATGGCATTGCAGGTCTCAGCATGAGATGCTCCATTAACTCAGCAGTGTGCAAGTGTGTGACTGGATGACTGTACATCCCTGCTGCTTCCAGACTGGACCTAAAAACCCCCATGAGGAAAGAATACTTGTCTTGCTACTCTGGAAGTGTTCAAAGCCAATGGCTGGGTGCCTTTTTACACGCGTCTGCTGTCCGTTTCCCACAAATCTGGGTACAGTCTTTAATTTGCATGAAAAGCTGGAGCTGAAGGTCTAATAGTGTTGGGGATTAAGGGCTCTGCTGTGCTTAGCTTCCAGTGTTGTGACAAAATCTTGTGAAAAGCTTTGCTTCCTATCACAGCAGAGGGTTTTCTTTTTTTTTTTCAAACTACTCTCAGTAGACCTATAATACCACTTAAACAAGATGATGAGATCCAGAGTAAAAAAAGACGAAATTTATGTCTTTTAGACAGGAAATTACAAAGAAATAAAGCATATGTGACAAAAATACAAGCTAACAATTTTTCAGACCTTACAATAAATATTTTAGTTATTCTTGAGGAATATGATAAATTAAGATGTATCTGAAGAGCTGAGTTTGCCTTGTTCTCCAATCAGGTATTAACCACGGTCCAGTGATCGCTGGAGTCATTGGAGCTCAGAAACCTCAGTATGACATCTGGGGAAACACAGTCAACGTAGCCAGCAGAATGGAAAGCACTGGAGTCCTGGGGAAAATACAGGTGAGTGACATGAACTGGCTTCCTTCGTTTTTTTCTTTAGCTTTCATACCATGTTGGTCTAAAATATCACATTTAAAACTTGCATTCAGGTCCTTAGTTTTACATATGGCTAACAAATAGTCCTTACAAATTAGGTACATAGGTAGAACGATATGTACAGCAAGTCAAAAAAAAAAGGGCTATGAAGTAAAAGAGCTGAACACATTTGTTTCTCTAGAAAATAAGGATGTAAAAAAACAGTTAATAGTAATAAGATGCGCCTACATGGAGGATTCCTTCACATTCCATGTTAAAATTCCTCAGTTTTACACTGATTCTCCAAAGTTCTGTCTACTTTTAGGGATCAGATCTATTTTTCCACACTAATCTAGACCTGAAAAACGAGTAAATCAAATTTCCAGATGGCACAGAAACACTATAAGTCAAACAGTAGCAATAAAAAATACACTCCAAAATCGGATCAAAACCAATGTTATAACTTTGAAAGTAAATTTACATCTACGTTCAACAAAGTTAGTACATTAAAAAAAAAAAAAAGGAGACTGACATGTCGAAGATAAAACTTTGTCCCTCCACATGTGCGGTTTATGGCAGAAAGGACATCTTATCATCTCAACATCCCCCGACACCTTAAAATCTTATACTGGCTTCCTGTCTGAGCACCGATAAGATGTAATGTTTTTCTATCACACGGCATGTTGCTGTTGCCACCGTTTAGTCTTCGGAGAGCTGTATTATACTCCCCAGCTTGCACACATTCAGTATAGCCATCTGTTGTGCAGTGCAGCGCAGCACAACTGCAGTCCTCCTGATTTTCTTCTGGCAAATGGCTGCTGATATTTACAGATAAGGGATATTAAAAAGAAATGCTGTGAACTTTCCAGGTGATCTTCCCCCCTTTCATTTTAACAATGTTACCTCATTTCAGTACCTGCAGAAAACATTTCTTATTTTTGTTTATGAGTACTTCGTGGTCTTTATTGTGCCATAACCTGCTGTTTTTTGGGGGTTTTTTTAACACGGACATTTCATTGCTCTCTTATTGCACATTTTTGCTGCGTAGACATGTAGTTTTATGAATAAGTTGTGAAATACACTGTGATCTCTTCTCTCTTCCCTCTAACAAGAAATGTAAATATGAAACCAATAATGTTTGCAATTGACTTAAGCATAATATGCAGATATATGTATATACATATTTGTACAATAAATGATCCCAATCTGGTCTTTGAAACCACAACAGAAGAAGTGCCATGCAAATGTATTTTTCACAAAACTCAAAAAGAGGCAGACCCTGACGCTTCCGGAGGAATGCGATCCAGTCATGTAAAATGAGCAAAGCAGCCTTGACTCATGCGTTTCTCCCTCTAGGTGACGGAGGAGACAAGTCGCATCCTTCACAATCTGGGCTACACGTGCTCTTGCAGAGGGATCATCAATGTCAAAGGCAAAGGAGAGCTCAAAACCTTCTTTGTGCACACAGAGATGACGCGCTCACTGTCCCAAGGGAACATCATGCCGTAAGACTGAATCAGAGCATCTGCATCGATGCAGGTACAACCAAAGGTCTTTGATCGGGGGCCAAGGAACTATCTTCGAAGAGCTTCGGTAATAAAAACAAGTGCGACTCAGGAAGAAATCTGACTGACAAAGAAGGAAAAACAGATTTTACTATCACTTCGCAAAATAACTATGCCACAGATCTAGTATTCATTTAGTCCTTTCCGTAACAGAGGGCGTTTGTTGGACAGCAATTAGGTGGGAAACGCTACGATTATGATGCAATTTGAATGTCACAGCTGAAAAGCATTCAGGCTTGATGAAAAAGAAAAGTTTCAGACGTTCCGAACCAGTAATTGCGTAGCTCTGTGGCGCTTGTCGCAATCACTGGACACCCACAGAAACCCCCTGCATTGATGCCAGCCGCACCACAGCAAGTCTCACTTTTTTCAGGGAACGGGACACTCGGGGGGTTGCAGAATAACATGTTTGGAAAACTCCAAAGCACTTTCACGGAAAATGCATCAGCGGAATTTTTAAAGGACTGACGGCACCACAAACACCGGCTTGTCGCTGGTGTTATGAATGTAAATTTTTGCTCCTCTTAGAAGTATTTTGAAATGCTACAAATCAAGCATTAAAAAGAAGAAGCAGCAGAAGTCCACTTCAAGGATGAGGCTTGTCTTTAAACAGAAGAAGGCAACACGGTTTACAATGGATACTTCTGAAACCTGTTAAAACCACAAAGTCTTGGATGTATCCTACAGACACTCCAGAATATTCTGAAATAGTCCTACACACTAATCATCTTGTCTGTATTATCAGAAGTGTTATTTGTCAACTCCTGCTGGAAGCGGGGGAGTTTGAGGCCAGACGCATAACAGTTTGTGAGACAGTTGTACATGTTTCCCCATCCAGAATGTAGATCACGATTCAAACTGAGAACTAAAAAGCATGCAGAATTTTTCTAAGACTGACCATATAAATCTGCCAAAAAAATGTGATATTTTGCTGTCACCGTTAAACGTTCAGGTTAATGTGGTCGGGATGCTGATCGACGCGTGCCGGTTTTCGAAGGGAATAATGGGGAAGAATGGGCAGAATGTACCTTTTGAAACCAAACAGGAGTTGTGGAAGTTAACAGTGCTTTTCGGTTTTAATACACTTTCATGCTCCTGGCCTCTGTTGCATAGACCTGAGCCAAACAAACTCAAAGAATTTCAGAAAAAAATTCTAATTATTTCAGTGTAAATATTTTAGTTTTGAGTAGATAAAGCCTGATTTATGTACATGATAGGTTTAGTGTGTACGGTTGTTTTGTAAGAAAAGATACAAAATATTCCTCAAAAAAAGTTTTTTTTTTTTTGTTTGTTTTTGGATGATGCTATTGTTATTTTTTTTGTAAAAACTTCAATAAAGTTTCTATGTAATTTAGTTCATCTAAGCTCTTAAACACATGTAGCCTTCTTAGATCCTTGACAGGATTGTGCTGCTCTTACATCTAATGGCGGGACAGTGTAAATAATCCCAGCATCCTGCACTGATGCGTCTTGTTTTCTCGAAGCAGGCTGCACCAGCTGGTGACGTCAACATAAAAAAAACTTCCTGGTCTACCTTTTGAATGCGGTGAACACTTGACCCGATGAGTCTAGACTCATCAGGGTCGGAACTAAATCTTTCTGTAAAGCTTTTTTTTTTTTTTAAATCTCGAGCTCATTTCACAACATCAATACAATCTGAAATAGAGACAGTAAAAGTAGGCACATTGAAGATAACCTTCCCCCCACCCATCTATTGACATGAACAGAAATTATGTGATAAGTTGTATCACCGTTACTGAGCTCATAAAGACAAAACACATCTTAAAATCAGACTATTTATCAGCTCATGTTCACATCTTATCCTCAGACACCAAAGTTGTAGCCTACACTGCCTCCTTTCACTTTATGAAAACATTGAATGCAGGTAAACGTGTTTGTGTTTAATGCACGCACGGCTTTATTTGAAAGTGGTATCTAAACTCTACATACTTACTGCATTAAACAATTCTGAGTCGTTTAAAATGGGACAACTATCAGGACCTGATGTAATTTTTTTTTTTCAAAAATCTTTAATATTAAATTTATCTTACTACAAAATTCCCATCAACATGATGTATCTCTAAATAGAAAATCAAACTTAAAAGGGTCTTTAGAAGAACATTTTTCTACTGCATGGCTAAAAACTTTACACTTGATTATTTACGGTTAATCCTATTGAGACACAAGGTCCTGTTTCTATAGGTGACTGGTGTTATGAAGTCGATATGTTGTGTGTTTACGTAAAGAAATCATTTAACATCACAGAGCAGAGCCACGCCCCTGAGGATCCAGTGTTCTGGATGCAGGGAAGTTTTCAGGTCCACAGTGGAGATGTAATTCATGTCTGTCCTTACCGGCTTCTTGTAAATTGGACAGGAATAGAGGCGCGAATCCTTCACACCTGCACCACAGAGCAGAAAGGAAAAAAAACAAACAAACAAACAAACTTGTAATTCAACAGTTTTCTGTAAAGAGAGCAGCAGCTGGTAAAATGATCTCTCTTAATTAAAGATCTTTTAAGTGGAAGTTTCTGAAATATGAGCACCGGTGTGTTGCACCAGAGACATCCAGCTGTGTTTGACAGCACATCTGTTTTTATGAAAACCAATCAACAAAATTACTCAAATTAGGACAACATAGTTAGTTCCTTTTTCAGCAGCAGTTTGTTTACAGTTTTTTTTGGGGGGGCTGCAGGTTTGCGCTTCATTACTTATTTATCATAACATAATAAACTGCTAGATGTTGCTTGAGTGTCCCTCATCAACTCTTTCTTAAGCAGCTACAGACTGAAGAAGCTGATCCAGTTCAGCAAAATGGAAAAGCTTCAAAACGGCTTAACATTTTTAGGTAAAACACCTTCATGAATGTTGATGTAGAGTATTGTTTTAATCCCGATGCTCCTTGGCACACAAGTTGTATTTTTATATACTGGCAAGAAAATTTACAAAAAAATTGTTTCACAAAGACAGAAGTACACACAAGACAGGTCAAGGAAAAATATGTGGAGTCTTGGACATCCACAAAACTGACAGAGTAGTTAAAACCAGCATTAATCAGAGAGACAGCCTAGGGCCCCATAGTAATTCAGACATCCACATCCCAGGTGGGAGAATCTGTTACCAGGACAACAGTTAAATGGGCATTCCGCAAATCTGGCCTTTTTCGGAAGACTGAAAAGAAGAGGGCTAAAAGAAAGCCATGAGAAGTCCTCTGCCCTTCCCCATAAGCCATGTAGGAAACACAGCAAGCATCTGGAGGAAAAGGTTCTCTGGCCAGCAGAGCCCAAAATAGAACCTGACCTACATGCAAAGCTGAAGAAAAACAACCACTGTATACAGTATCACGCTCAGCATACAATTGCCATGGTGCAACATGAGCATGACGGAGTCATGCCGTGGAGTTGAAATGATAGGGGATCGTTAGGAGAACCTTAAAAAGCTGAAGATTGGAAACTAGAGTGGAGATTCACCTTCCAACAACACAGCAATCCTAAAGCCACTGTAACCAAGGCTACGGTTAAATGTTTAGATGAAAGCATACTTATCTATTTGACTATTAGTTGTTAAAGTCAAATTTCAGATCTAAATCAAATCAAATACCACTTATATATATATATATATATATATATATATATCAGCTAAATCACAAAATAACAAAATGATGGCAGTGCTATAAGACAATCATGTTGAGACTGATTTTGTGCTATTTGGAAAATGGGTAAATGTTCCCAAATTAATGACTTAATTTTCTCCTCAGTTTGTAAGCTTGCTGGGAACATTTCAAGTCATTGTAACGATGGGTTTACAGTCCCTCCTGCACTGCATACAGTCAGCATGATGTCAGTGTAAAAGCCCAGGAGCAAAAAGTTTACCAGCGGACGACTGAATGAGCCGCGTTAATCATCTTTCAGTCACTGTAAGATGTTGCTGCACTCTGGCTTTATCTTGAGCAAATACTGTGGCACAAACTTGCTGAAAATGTGTTCCCTGACATCATAAACAACATTAAGTCTGCTTGACATTTAAATGCTGCATGTATCCAGTGACTGTGTGGGATGAACACCATGAAGAGAATTCAAGATCCTCTTACGGTAGGGCAGGATTAAGGCTTGTGCATCAATTCTGGACCCCCTTCCCCTCCCAAACCCGACCTGGAAGCCTCACCGTTATTCTCGGCGTACATCCTGATCACAGGCATCGCCTCAAAGAGGACTTTGGGCTTGGAGTCGACAAGCTTGCAGCCACGGCGGTCCCAGCCGGCCCCCTCCAGGTAGAGGCCGTAAACGTACACTCCCTCCGCCGGTGGCTGGGTGATGTCATCCTTCATCCACTTGGTTACCTCGTTGCACAGCGCCATGCGGTCCAGGGCCCAGCCTTTGTTGGCGCGAGTGATCTCCTGGGAGCGCGCGAAGAAACAAATCTGCCGGTTAAGGTCATAATGTTCCAGCTACAGCACTGATTCAAATCAGATGGAAGGACAGCAGTAAAGCTTTGAAAGTAGGATATAAAAATAGAGTATGTTGGAATCACTGTAATCTTGGAAGAAATGAAAAAAAAAAAAAGACAAGAAAAATATTTTTGCGACTTTCACCACGTATTGTACACAAACTGATCAGCCTTTTCATGTAGTTTGTGTTTTTTCAGAGCTCCAATTGATCAACTAGAAGCCAGAAAAGGTGGCTGTTTTCAAGAGTTCACATTAGTTCTACAAATCTGCTCCCAGTAAAAATGCAGACAGCTCCATCATCAATGACTCCCGTCTCTGAAGAGCTGGGGATTTTCTTTGGCGCAGAAGGAAAAATAAACCAAAAGTCAGACACAGAAACCTGACACAAATACGAAATGACCCCAACTTCCTCCCACTGCAACCCGTAAAGAGCAAAAATAAATCGATGTCGGCTCTCGAAGCACAACTGAAAGTTCTGAGTTTTAGTTCATAAACGTGCAGGTGAAACTTGACATAATAGAAATCATTTGATTTTGTCAGCTGAATGTCTCTGTGTTCAACATACAATTATTTGCCCAGAACTAGACATGAAGGTTGAAGCTTTTCCATATAACTGCTAATTGTTGCTTATTCTGGCCAGAACTCCCAGATATATTAGCATTCAGACTATCCTATGCAGTGAAATGTGTAGTTGTTCTTTTAAGGGAATCGATAAACTCCATGTATCCAACATAAATCAGGTTTTGAGCTGGATAATGATGTACGTAGCACGTTGCATCCTCTAAAGTCAATCTCATTTCAAAAGTACTTTTTGACCCTAAAGAGAAATTAAATGTAACTCATTAATTCAAGGTTCTTCAAAGAGTTGTAGTTGATAGCGTGGACTGTAGGCAGGAAGGAGCTCCTGCAGCAGTCTGTATTACAGCAAAGTAGACAAGGCCTCTGACTGAAGACAAGAGGAAGTCCATAATGGTCTTAATACATGATCCATATGAACTCTGTCTCTCATCTGTCAAAAAGAATCAAATGTTCAATTGGCCCTTGCTCTGCCTTTGGTGCTCAGGTTTAATTATTGAGCACGATATTCAGCAAGGCAACTGACACTGTTAGGTCATCATTAGCTCTGATTATAGCACACATTAGCATGTATTTACAGTAAGCAAGAGAAAATGAATGATTAGATCTTTTCATATTTTAGAGCTGCATTTAAAAAAACAAAAACAAAACAAAACAAAAAAACATAAGTTCACAGTCCATATATCTCAAGTTTGCTGTAAGGGAGTTCAAGGTCTTTTGATGCAAGAGCCCTGTCACCTTTAGTTTTCAGCCCTGTACGTGGCACACCCAGCAGGCTTTGGTCACAGGACCTCAGGGAACTGCTGGAGATGAGTGAACTTACGAGTTGCATCAGTTTCCGTCAGCATGTCATTTGTCACACAGAGAAGAGCTGTTTTTGTTAAAAGAGCTCCATGGGAACCTGAAATAAATTGATCAGGAATGCTGTTTTCTTCCAGAGCAGCCGTTGGTAAACTCAGCCACCTTCTCTAAAAATCATGGCGATAAATAGCAGGATTTATAAATGCAAAGAAGAGTTTGCAGTCTCACTTTTTTTTTAATGTATCTACGATTAAATTTAGTAATTGTAAATTACTAAATGTAATGTAGCAGAAATCCAAAATAAGATTTTAGTAAATCTCAATTTGTATTCCTACATTTTTCGCAAGAAAAAGTTATTTTATGTCTGACAAATGTCTGAGACTTGAAACTGTTACAACAAACTGAGAACAGGAAAAGAAGCTTAGTCGAAAACCAATGTCTAATATGTCTGTTCTTTCAGAAACATACTAAAATCAACTGCAGATTAGACTAAAATCATTTTATTTTTGAAAGATAAAACATTTTTGCTGCCAGGAGTAATGGTCTCATTCTGTATTTTTCATTGGTCTGTATTTAGTCTTTTTTGTTGTTTTTTCATGCTGTGCTGAAATACAATTTCTAATCTGAATCTTGCATGAAGAATTGTAAAACTGATGAACCATATTGGGGAAAAAACAACAAAAAAAAGACACTAATCCCATAACAACAGGAGGCAGGAGTTTTAATGCGGTTCAAGTAGAGTTAACCATTGAAATTATTTCTCTGCTGCATTCATTTGCCACACATTAAGACAAATTGGAGTTCATACTTGCTTATCAGTGTTTGTGTGTGTGTAGCTGCGCATATGTTTACTCGTGTGTGTCACTGCGAACGTGTGCCCGCCTCTCCCTCTGTGCGCCATCTGGTCTCCTCCCCGGCAGAGGGTAAATAGGTGGTTCTGCCTGGTGCCATGTGTACCTGTCTCATCGCTGTCAGGAAGCCCTGCGGGTTGAAGAAGCCCGTCATCCAGAAGCATTTGGGCCGGCCCTCAAAGATCCAAGCCTGAAACTGGCGGTTCCGCTCAAGCAGCTCCGTGAACCAGAACCCCAGGGTGCTGGAGGCCCATGAAGCCTGCAAGGAAAACAAACACGGGCAACAACATAATCAACATATTCCGGTGATGTATTGAAAACCTAAACCGGGTGGATTAGGTGAGCAGGAACTGAAGCTTAAAATACTCTATTTTCAAAGCATCAATAACCAATAGAAGGAGCATAAGTTGAATTCAACTTAATCATTTGTAAATTAAATACATACAGGTCAAACCTGTGTCGATTCTCTGAGTGTTTAGTTCTTCTTTTTCTTTATTTACATTCATTATAGAAGTTAATGTGTAAGTAAGTTAAAGAAAACACAAACAAGGAAGTGGTTTAATCATGAGTTGGAAGCAGAAAGAGCAGGACTGATGAGATGAACTGGTTTGTTGCTGAATGTGCTATGCAAATAAACCTGACTTGCTGCTCTTTTTATACAGTACCCAATGTTTTCAGAAAATATGGTCACAATGTTTTTAGAGTGAGAGAACCTACAAGTTTTTCTAAAACAAAACATGAATAAATCCCAATAGATTTTTGTTGTTCTTTAAACTAAGTCATTGTAAAACCAACTTCGAATGGAAAAAGTGACTTGAGTTATAACAGGAAGTTACTGCCACATATGGATGACGACGTTGCATCTGTTACTCCACCTTATGGCGGCTTTTCATATTGAGCATTTCACTTGTTACCTCATCATTCTGCGATATTTTAATCCGTTTTCTTTCACATTCAGTTTGGTTGTGACATTGAAAACAAAGAAACATAAAATCCTTGTGGGGGGAGGAGGGTAGCAGACCTTCATCCAGCGTGCAGGAATGCGAGCGTCATACATGCAGTCCAGGGCGTCCCGCAGGTTCTCGCTCATGATGATGGTGCCGTCGATGGCCAGCTTGAGGTCCACCAGAGTGTGCTGGACCAGAGCTATGACCCGTTGCATTCGATCGATCTCCTGGCGGAGGAAGATGTTCATGGGCTGAAAGGGACCCATTTTCTGAAGATGCTCTCTCACCTGATTTAAATTGAGAGTCAAAGACAAAACAAGAAGAATGACAAAAAAGTTCACACGTAATCTTAGCTTAAAATCCATGACAGGCCTTTAAGATTTGATCTTCACAGATGCGCTACAGATTATTAATTGGAGTTCAGATGCGTAAGGTTGGTAGATATGCCATGAAAATAACTTGCGACTGTAAATGCAGAGAAAGGTGGATCTCCTAAACAACTGATTCAGAAGGGCTGGATATAAATACACACTATACTTTTCCGACTTTTACTTGTTAATGTTAAAACCTATACAATTTTCCTTCCACTTCAAAGTTCAGTCTTGCATAAAATCCAATAAAATGTATTGAACTTTTGGTTGTAATGAGATACCATTAGGAGTTTTCAAGGCGTATGAAAGCTTTTGCAAGTGACTGCATCGAACAGATATATATATATAAAAAAGCAGGAAAACAAAATAATTTTTGGCAATTTGTGATTTCCATTAAAATCTGCTCTCACAGATAGACATTTCTCTTAACACTTCTGCATCTCTCTGAACTTTACACGTTTATCTCCTTCAATTAAAAAAACCCAAAAAAAACATGATATTTCTTCAGTTTGTCAACACCAGACTGGCTCAGTATTTTATTTTTTCCTCCTTGTGTAACTCTTCCTCGTGTAAGCAAGATCCTGAAAGTGCGAGAGACACGACGTGTTGGTAAGCGACAGCGAAGCTTTGCACCTCGCTTCGGAGTCATAATCTCTCCTCACCTTTTCATGACAGAAAAGGAGAGGAACCTCAAAATAAAGCTGGGATCCAGCCGCATTCACACTATCCCTCCCCTGCCCCTGCCTGGCACCACGAGAGACACTCAGCCCGGCTTGCGTGGTGAGAGGAACTGTGAACAACCATGCCTAACCTCAATCATTTGCCTGGGGCCGTTTCGCAGAGCACACAAACATACTTCAAAAGGTACATAGTCGGGAGGCAGTTTCTCCAGCATGTCGTCAGCCAGTCTGGACACGGCCGCCTCTCTGGTCTCCCCTCCTCCCGATGAGCTGTCTTTTGGCTGAATGCTGAGGATGGCGTCCAGCACATCCTTCGCCTGTTTGCTCTGAAAGGTTATGTCTGCGTTCGGGTGGAGCCCAAACACCTGAGGCGTGTCGTAGGCTGGAAGACCCTGAAATACAGGAATGGAATTTGATTAAGTAACTAAATTCCCTTAATTTTTTTTTGTTTGTTTTTTTTTTCCTTTAAGATTTAATAGACAGCATTCGAGTATCCTATCGAGTGAGGAACCCAGAGTCAGTGTCTCTGCCGATACATACTGCACCTGTCGACGCAGAACAATTTCACTATTTTGTTTTGTTTTCTTTTTGTGTTTTTTTTTTTTTTAGGGGGGGGTGTAGGGGGATTTCTCCTCCCCATCTTTTTATCCCGAGGTTCACACACACAACAAGCTGCAGACACTGAGCATGATCTCAGCTACACATAGTGTCACAAGCTGTTTTCTGTCCCCCTCCGGTGAGGATTCAGACAGTAAAACACATGGGTCAGTCACGCTATCCCTCCTGCAAAATGGTGAGTGTCTCTGACCATCTTGGGAGAAATGCTGTTGAAGTGACAGGATCTCTCCCCCCAGCTTCCTATAAACAGTCAAATGTGTTCAGTTGGCGCCTAACCAATCTGCGGCTCTGTGGTTATACAACAAAAAAACAAACAAAAAAAAACATGCATTCTACAGGCTGGCACTCTGCGACTCCTGTCGTTCTTCTACCCGGAAATTAGTCTCAGATTAACCAAGATCCTACAAACTTTGTTGCATCTTTACCGCCTTTTTGTTTTCCTTCTCCACTGCTTTCCTTATTATAATACGTGACAGTATGATGCTTTTCTTCACCAACCTGAAGGGATGTACTGACTCTGTTCTGTCTGACAGGAGCAATCAATACCAATTTTCCAGCTGGCCTCATACGACAAATAACTTAATGATTTAAAGAGGTGTCCTCGCTGATTCAGCTTTCATTCAGACACCTAAAATAAATCTCGGGGGAAAACCAGGGGCTGACCTGCAAGCTTTGTCTAACGGTGCAACAACTGATTTACATACAATTCCAGGCATTTAAATTAGGGTAAAATGTAGGAATTACAATGCAAATGGTAATTCCCTTCTGTTTGCATCTTGAATTTAGTGGTAATGCTCTTATGCCAGAAAAGTTGGAATTAAGTTTGGGTTTTTAGATGTCGTATCTATATGGTTTCTCCACGGTTGTGTTTATGAGTGCATGAGAGAGAACACAGTAGAGCATTTCAGAGCCTTTCATTCTTCAGCATCTATGACAATGAAGCTAGGTTGAATAAAATAAGCTTTAAAGCTGCTCTGTGACACACAAAGACACGCATTGTGTCAAATGTGCATAAAATTACACAGTTATTTAATGTGACATAATCCACTTGAGTGGTTATATCAGAAAAGGGAGAAGAACACAATCGTCCACAATGTGGCTGCTATCGCAGACTGAAAATGACATTTTGTAGAAATGTTTTTAGTCTCACACCACCATCTTCTGCATTTTTTTTTTCAGCATTACCTGGATGTAACTGAGATACTGGTCAACATTGGAGCATTTTGGGATGTTGTATCCCTTGTAGAAGTTAAAGGTGGGTCCAAACATTTCCTCACTGAACCAAACCCTGGCAAAGGTGTTTAGGAGGCGCTTGTCGAAGTCGTCAGTCACTCGGCCGCCGTATTGGATCTCGCCGATCATGTACTGTACTGTGCTCCATGATACGCCCTGAGAAGATGTAACATACATTTCAAAGTAAGACTGAGAAACAAATGTAATAAAGTCAGTTTTGGCAAGTCTATCAGTATCCCGCATCTTGGTATCATTTGCCAAGATCGGCCTTATGAAGGTTTTTCCAAGACAGTCAGAAGTAGATGTAGTTCTAGTTTCTGGGTAAATCACTGTGAAGCTTTAACCTTTGTCGATTTGGGTTAAACTCCCATTTTTACTTGCATGGATGTTGGGGATTTCTTTCAGTGTGAAGCTCGGGAGTAATCTTTCTGCAAATTATGGTTTCAGATAAATAAAATGGCTAACTTCAAGAAAATCCCGCTAGAAAAGCTGACCTGTATTTCAGGTTAATTTAGATTTACTATACCTGATGGGAGGTGTGGGCTTGAGGAAAAAAAAAAATGCTAAAATTGAATCGAAGGGTTTTTCAACAAAGTTTCAGTTCAAGTGGATACATTTCCACACCTTTAAGCTGGAGCTTTGTTTGAGTTGTTTACACGTTGTTTCCTTACAGATTTAGATTTTTTTAAGCATGCAGCATAGATCACGGTACAAAGTGGAAACGTGTTTGAAGTAATTTATCATAATATTGTTTTGAGTCACTAAAACAGCATTAAACACGGAAGACGACCTTTGATATCTGCTGCAGAATGAAATATGTGAAGGTTAAGATAAAGTGTAGTCAAAGCATTTCCTTTGACTATTCATGCAATTAGAAGCTTCCACTTCCTAAGTACGAGTGAAATAACGCACTTCTCAGCTAAGAAACACTAATCACAAAAATGCATCTTTTGATTAGAGGCTTTGCGGTTTACTTTCTATATCTGCTGGTCATGTGTGCAAATCCTCATGTTCACCTTACATAACCTCCACTGACCTTTTTGATGTCCACGTCATCCAGGTGGTTTTGAACAAACTGGACAGTGGCGTTAAAGTCAGCTTGGTTGAACTCGTAGGGGATGTTCCATCCTAGAGGGCCAAACTTCCTCCGCTCTTGAACGGTACTGTGGAGAAACGCCACAGCGTACAGCATTGGCTTCCACTGCACCATGTTGCTGACATCCAAAAGGTCCTGGTTTATTCCTGTTAAGGGACACGGGTATCAATTCGTCAACACCCAGTTCCAAAATATGCTGGGTACTTTCTTTTTATCCCCAAAAGCCCCACTATGTCTTACTTTCGGGGTATGTCTTATATTGGAAAAAAAATTGTTGAATTTTTTGTTTTAACCATAAAATTAACATTTATTAACAACCTGACGGCGCGGTGACGTATGGAGAGGGGGACGGTGCGGACGTGGGCAGGAGGCGGCGTGCAGCTGATGAGAGGTGTTTCCCCGAAAAGTAAGACGTATGTCTTACTTTCGGGGTATGGCTTATATTAGCCGACCCCCCTAAAACCCCCGATACGTCTTACAATCGGGGGTGTCTTACTATCAGGGAAACACGGTATTATTTTGGGATCAAAATATGTGTCAAATGCACTTTTGTGAATTTACAAATGAAACAGACTTGGTCTCTTGCAGGATGTAGGAGCTAAAGACAAGCACACATAGATTCTTAGTTGCCCTTCATCCTTTTCAATATGAACTAGGAACAGGCAGCTCTCTTGTGCATATTAAGTATTCGTTTTACCCTTCTAGGTTTTGAATAAAAACACAAAGTTCAGTTCGCGCAAGGTCTCATAAAGCTTCCCCCCAATGCTTGTGGCACCGGGGTGTAAAGTCTCTGAATTAAGCAACAAGCACATGTTTGTTGTGAATTTCCATCTCTTCATCTGTTGTCCTTCCCCTAGGACACAGTAAGAGTCTGGATCTCTCTATATGCATGCATCCACCCACTACTCAGATCTTTATAAAGAATAATAAGACACTTTTGAGTTTCAATCACCTCATACCCCTATTGGCAGTTTCTCTATTTGAAAATACATATATTTTTGATTGCCTGTGTTTGCAAGTACAAGGCTTTGTGTAGCTTGATTCCATACAGTTTGTCCTCTAATTTCCCCAAATCAATTTAAATGACTTTTTTACTGCAAGTTAAACTACACTGAAGCCCACCTCCATAGGTCCTCTTAAGCCCCGCCTTCAGGCCCTGCGGTGGTTCGTTGGTGAACTTGACAGACATCTGAAGGAGAGTGATGGGGAAGTGCTTGTGAGCCTCTGTGGTCATCCAAAGGCGAAAGCTGTCGTTGACAAAGTCTGTTTCCGTCACCGTGTCCATTAGTTCATCCATGAAGTCTAGACCCAGATGACAGTTCTGGAGCAAGGCCCACCCGCCCTGTGAACAATCGCAACAACCGGTGGCCATCAAACACTGTGACGGGTCGGGGATAACATTTCAAGAATTCAGCGTTCAATCCATTTTTGCCCATTTTTAAACTATAACTGTAGTGTTCATAGTGAGTTTACAGTTTTGAAGGGAGTGGATGCACAGGGGAATAGATGGATGCAACTTTAACAGAATGGAACAGGTAATAAGATCTAAAATACTGATATTTCTCCTCGCTGTCGTCTTTTCCACATCTATCTGGACTTGTAAATTGCTTAATTGAAATTCAGAACATTTCCAGGCTGATTGGAAAATTAACTACAGTTCCAGCTGCTGCTGCTACAGTAGAAAAGGAGCCACCTCAGAGCCTCGACTCACATTAGCCATGGTCTGCTGCAGGAGCTTCCGAGCATGGACCTCTTGTCCTTGTCCCATAGACACGTATCTGGTCTCAATCTTGAGCTTCTTCCCCAGTGCGGTGATGGAGTCAGTAGGGTCTGATCCCATTGAAAGGAAGCAGATAAGCGGTGTGCGTGGATCTGATTCCTCCCACATCTTCTCCAGGTCAAGAATCACCCCTTCGGTGTACTTCTCCCCCATTGCATTAGTTATGTATTTACGAGCCTAAGAAAGAGGAGGAGGAATCAAATGGTGAAAAGTTGATGTTTATTTACTGGTTCGAAATGCAAAAAATGCAAAAGGTTGTTGAACTCCTACAAAAAGTAAAAGGAAATATATTTTCTATCCAGGGTTAATATTAGGGAAAATATGTGGAGGGTTTTTGGTTTAATTTTTTGCAGAACTTCTTACTTTTTTAGTCAACGGTTTATTTTTTTTAAAAAAAAACCTACTGAACAGACTATTTTTTTCTGAAAAAATATTTTACTCAATAACCTGGTGTATGAATGGTGGTGGATATGGGTGGGACTCATACCGAATAGTAACTTCCAGTCTCTTCATCACTTTCTCTGGCTTTCTATTTATTTCATACTATAATTATTAATAGGCTGACTTTACGCCCAGTTTTCGACTGAACTCTATATAATTTTTCTAAGAATACAAAAATGTGTTTTCCTTACCTGTGCGATGGTCCTGTCGGGACACCAGCACCGTATCAGGAGCAGCCGCCTAAAGCAGTCGAGAGACTGATCATAGGAGTTGGGAACCACCTCCTCCTCTGGGGCTTCCTTATCAAACCACGACTTCCACTGCTTCTCGTTACGACTTATCTGGAAGAAATGTAGACATCGGGCTATTGCGCTGAGGTACATCGTACACCGAGTATAAGACACTGAATCCTGAATGACCTGTACTTGCACAGAGGTTCATCAAATCCAGGGGACACCAAAGCGCTTTACGCTACATTCAGTCACACAGTCACAAGCTGGTGGTGGTAAGCTACTGCGCCATAGCCACAGCTGCCCTGGAGCAGGGTGCCTGAAGCAAGCTCATGTCAGCAATCAGAAGTCTCAGAGATAAATTAATTAATGAACCTGAGAGGAAGGGAGCTTTAAGTTTACTCTGTTTTTGTTAGATGTGAATATGTTGTTACTTTGGTAAGGTAACGTGCAAAAATAATGCTACACATAATCATCATAATCTTTTTCTTTAACTGTTCATTTACATATGAGAAAGTTGGAAATAGAAAACACATTTTTTGTATTTTTGAAACAACAAAAATATGCTTTATCTGCTGTTTGTTCATGCGATGAGCATATTTTCAAGTAATATTAGCTTTCTTCATTATTTATTTACAAGACTGAGAAGCTAACGTACGCATGAGGACAGTGTGCCCTTCCCACAGCTGAAACTCTAAACTTCTGGGGGGGGTTTTCCATGTCCTCCTTGAAAAACTGATTTGAATAAACTAAAAAAGTTCAACAGCACCTCTCCCTATTAACAGGCATGCAGAATAAAATGCTCATGTGAATTACTTGCAAATACACAGTCAGCCAAACACACACCACGCCCGCGTGTACGTGTACATCTGCCCAGCCAAAAGTAATTGATTGAAAATTTAACCAAACTAAGCTCATTTCACACAACGTTGATTTTTCCCACCATGGGAGCCACCAGGCTGTCAGTTACACTCAAGGGTTTGTGCATTTGGGTGTGAGTGACAGTCAATCATGAGTCTCTGAGAGCCCATGTGTAAAAGAAAGGATGAAGTGAGCCATGATGAGACTGATATTGACATGCTCAGTAGAGCAAAGAGCAGCTGTGAAAAATATTTAATAAGCACCCAGAGACCACAAACGCATCAGAGTGTGTGTGTGTGTGTGTGTGTGTGTTGAACAGATGAAACTTCCTTGCTGAGGGAGACTTGGTAGATAAAAGTACTTGGGTAAATCTTTCTCAGCTAAAGACGCATGCCTAAACTGATTGAGATGTGTAATATGTGAACCTGATCCAGTATGTCGGAGAACTGCCAGAGTTTGCTGAGCTCCACGAGGTTGAGCCAAGTCATGTCCAGGATCCACTTGGCTGGTTTCTGAGGGCAGGCTTTTAGGTCCAGAGAGGCGCCGCCTGTACGATGCAAAAAACGCACAAACATACGTGTCCGCATCAACGCGGACACATGTGTGCTTTCAGGATAACGTTGGGTTTTGTCTAACCAACATTTTACAAAGCAAAAATGCATATAATATACCTTGTTTTGTTTTTTTTTGTTTTTTTTTTACGTTTCAATTAATGCACACACAATTACAAAAAATGTCAAGAGTACTTTGGTCAGCATGTCACAGTTGACAGATGGTGTAGCTGCATGCATGTAGCAGAGAGTCTGTTCTGAATCTGCTGGTAACGCTACGGACTTTTACTCCTGCAGTGAAAAGTGCTGCGTGTAAGAGATTCGGTTAGCTGCTGCAAGTACTTATATCTTAATACTAGAAAACTTCTCTAAAACGTGAGAAAATGACATTATGCTCCTTTTCTACGTATTTTTTTTGTTGTTTTTAACATTTTAATTTAAAACAATTAGGCTACATAACTATTTGAACACCTTTTCACATATCTTATGAAATAGATAAACACAAAGTACTGCAGAATTGTTTAGTGGAAGAAAGTGTTTAGTGTTTCAAAACTTTAAATACATTTTAAAAATAAAAATAAAACCAGGAGGCCCCCTTTCCTTAATAAAATCCACTGCAACTAAATTCCATATTAACTGAACTCATTACTAAACAACATAAAAATACATCTGGTTAGTAAAGACTTCTGAGGTTTGTTTGAAAACTTTAGTGAACAAACACATTAGTGATCTTCATGAATATCAGGAAACTCACAGGTCAGAGGTAAAGTTAAGGAGAACCTCTACATAGAATGACAGTAATGCTGGACGAAAAGTTATCGTACCTTTAATGAGTGTGTGGAACTCCTCATGTTTGATTTTGTTGCTTTGCATGTCGATCTTCAAAGTCAACAGCAAAGTAAAAAGGAACTTATGCTCTTCGTACAGGCCCTGTGCTGCGTAGTGGTGCACCTCAAAGGTCATGAACTCTATGATGCTCGCGATCCGTTTGATGGTGATGGGACTTTTCGAGGACCTGTTCCAGTAGAAAATTACAACATAAACGTTAATTTAAGCCCCAAGCTACAGTGCAGTGCTTAATTGTTTAACTGCTAAACAGTAACATTTTTTTTCTCAAAATTAAATCGGACCTGTAGTCTGTACAAACTTAATGCACAATGCAACCCGTGAGCCTTCATATATCTGAGTAAAATATTCAAGCTCTCAAATCTCTGGCCAATGGGTTAACCTTATTTCTCTTTGGGAATATTATGGGCTTTTTTATTGTATTGAAATGAAACAAATTGCAAATTTAGTACCAAGTATAAACAATTTGAATATGACAAATGTGATTGTTATTTGTGATGAGAACTCCACGACATAAACAATTGTGAAGTGGCTAAAATAGATGACTTAATATTCTAAACAATCTGGCCTAAAAGGTTTTATTGACAGTGTATTGATATGCTTCTTTGTACTGTTGCTATATTATACAGCAACAGTGTATGTCATAAGTGTCAATATTTCTCACCTAGCAAGAGAAAGGTCAAAAAGTCCAAGGAACTGCCTCAAAGACGTCTGGTACATGATATTTACCATACTCATCTCAGTAATAAGGAAATACAGGATGCTGCCCCTAGTGGCCACTAAAATCACACAGAAAGCAGACAAGAGAACAAAATATCAGAAAGAAAGGAAACGACATACAACATCTGTAATTATCTACTGTCTGACCAATAAATGCTCAATAAATAATTGAAACATGCGCTTTACTTGATTTTCTTTATGCTGTTTGTTCACTGATGTTTTCAAAGAAAACTCTTCAAGAACAGCTGTATTTATACTGAGATTATATTACACACAACAACATGGACTTCTGTTAGTAATTATGTGATTTCTGTTGGTTGCACTGTATTCTATTGAGGGCATGTACACTACATTGGAGTGAAAACAAATGTAAAATAAACTTATCAAATCTTTTTCTGTAAAAACATTAGGTTCTACTTGGTGTTTTTCTATCTCAGAAATAACAATAAGTCAGCTTCAAATTTGTGTTTGTAAAGTAGAAAATGCAAGTGAATACAAAATACTTTTGCACATGATTTGTTAAGAGTCTGAGTCGAAATAAAAAGCTAAAGATATAGATATATGTTATACATTCTTGCCTGTGACTCTAGAAACACACTGCAGCCTGTCAAAAGAAAGAAAGAAAGAAAGAAGGAAAGAAAGAAAGAAATAGAAATTGTGTCTCGGAGCCTACCGGGTCGGTATTCCTCCCTAGCAGCATTTATCTGAACCTCAGTCTCAGCAGCAATCTGCAGCTTCTGAGTGACTTCCTCGGCTGTTTGCTTCGTGTTGTTGAGAACGAGAATCAGGCTCTCATCATCCACCAGTGAACCCTAAAAAAAAAAGAAAAAGAAAAAACCAACACGTAAGAAAACAAAGCTTGAAGGTATGCATGTTTCAAGGAATTGACTATTGTGAACACCATTTTTTTGGAACAAAAGATATGGATAGCTGTTTCAGATGTTTTCAAAATGAAAATCTTTTAACCCTATAATGTTATCATAAATCAAAATCTGAATCTGATCAAATAATAATAAACAAACTAAGTGTTCCCATTCTGCTACAGAAGTCACTCTTATTTTTTCAGCATTTACATGTAAAGTTTTGAAAAGCGGTCCTCCAACTATCCACGAATTAAAGTTTGAAACATATTTTTACCTGTGTGCTAGTTAGTCTGTACAAGAGGTTGTCCTCAAGTTCCTTCATTTTTCTCTTGTTATAGGTCACATCTTCCAAAAGGTCAGTCCTCTCCTTCTCCATTTCCTGGAGTCAGAAAAAACACAACACACAGGGACATGTAGATATAAAGTATAAACCTGTGACTGTAAAAAAAAAAAAAAAAAAACAGCATAGGGCCACTAAAATCAAAGAACTTCATGAAGAAGATTAATCTGACCAAATTAAACGTATTTTAGGCTGCAGGGTATTCTAAGTTGACAATTTACCCTTAATGATCAAAGTAAATCTCATTTTGAATTCATGCTGTTATCTAAGCCAACTTCATGGTAGAGAGATCATTAGTTTTCAAACTTTCACATTCTATTTAAAATGCATCGTTTAACAAGGTAATATCAGTCACAAGTTCTCACCACTGATGTTTGTTTGAAACCCTTACCGCTGCTTCTGAGGGAATAGATTAAAAGACGACTAATTTTGATGGCTGAAGATGAATGCCAATGTTCAGAAATGAGCAGTCCAAAAATAATGACTTGATCATGTGTGCAGTAATGAGTTATAAGTATAACAAAACAGATAATACACATAAAATTCAACCAAAGCATCTGCAGTCATCTGGTTTAAATAAACAGTCACTTATATTCACCCTGAAGTTTTTATTAAACTGTGTTAGATTCTTCAATTTTAAACAGTGAAAATCAATATGGTCAGAAAGACATCTGTTCAGTCTCTATGGTGACCAACTAACCAATAGATGAGGGTTATTCCACAGTTCTTCCATTACACCTTTAGGTTTTAATTTAGATGTGCACCACAGTATCAGAGTATGGGTTCACAGTTTTGCTGTCTGGATTGAAGGTGGTCGTCTTCCAGTCTGTCAGTATGATCATCTGGTTTCTAATGCATTGCTATGGCGATGGTCATAAGAAGAAACGCAGCAGTCTCTCACTTGCAACTGTACATGCAGCTTGTGCCATTGCCGCTGTGAATAGTTACACTGTTACATGTAAAGTAATAGTTACACTGTTACTCAAATGCTAGCAGGAAAAAGGGATGTAATTGTTTCTTTCAGATCAGCCTAAGTTATCTTTTCAGTAGAATCTTCTGGATTTGCACCTAAAAATTTGCACAAAGCAACATTTTCCATACAGGAGGATTTCCTCAGTCTTTATTTATAGATTCTAATTTGGAGTTTTGGCAGTTCCAAGTTACTGTACTCTGTGAGAGAATCACATGCCTTATGGCATTCTCTGTAATACTGATATTTGGCATTGTCTACAGCCCATCACTGAAATTAGCCTTTGACAAATTTTGGACCCTCTCCCATGAACCAACAGTAGAAAATCATTTTCTCTAGTGTCATCTTCTTAATTTGCAAAAGGTCTGTAGTTTGAAACCAGCCAAAAATATATATATTTTTTCCCCAAGTTATATTTATCACAGGGTATTGTAGGTCCTCAAGACAATTTAACATGTGTGATTTGTCATGTGCCAGCAGGTTTCTATGGCGCATTGGTTCGACCTCTGGCCTTTCAATCCAGAGATCTGAGTTCAAGTATGATCATCTTCTGGAGTTGCACCTAGTCTTTTGTCAGGCTTAATTTATCGACTGTTATCCAATTTGAAAAGAGGCAGAACGAGGTTTGACAGTTTGTTCACCAAGTTACTGTGCTAAAAAAATATTTGGCATTATCTTCAGCAGATTGGAATGGAGTGGCTACATCTCAACAAATTCTTACAACTTTAAAATATAGAGAAACAAATAATGATGAGTTTCTTATTTAAACTTGGTTTTATGTTAGGGCTAGTTTTTGTTTCCCCAGGCTCTTAATGCTTGTGGGTACATTTACAAAGTAGCCTTATTATCAATGAAAAATTCAAATAATGAAAACAATAATTCTAGCCCTCTGCACCCCCATAAGCTCGGAAGAAAAAAAAGCCGGTTTTTCAATCTGGAATAGTAGCCTCAGCGCTTTTATTATCGTTATATCCATATTTGGCGCATATTGGAGATAGCATGCTATTCTTCACATCTTCCATGAATCTTTCAATTCATGATCGCCCATTAGGCTTACCGGTGAGAAAATTGCTTCTCTGCAGCAGTGCCAGTCTTTTCAGACGAACAATCAATGAGCCCTTTGCCAGGGTGTATTTACAGTGAGCTATTATATTGCTCAGTGTGAATGGCTCAAGTTCCTGACACTTTAGATGTGTGCGTCTTTGTTAGTAGATTTTATCCTGATACATATGGGCGCCGTTGTATCAGTGACTGGGAGTTTCTTTACTCTGTTTTGTAAAGGGTGATGATACACTCATGAGTTATAATGTCACACAATAACAGAGGCGTTAAAAGCCTGCAAGTATCGATACAAAACCGCTTCAAATCTGAAGCAGTGACATTATTTTATATATATAATATTGCTTAAATACGTAATTAAATTATAAATACAGGAAAGTAAAATTACCGTCTTTTTGACTGAAGGCATACCTGTTTTTCAGTGAGAATGACACGACCCAGCAGCTGGTCCTCGAGCCCCTTCATGGTAACAGTGAAGTCAATGATGGAGGTGCGAGCGCTGATTTCAGGAGTGTAAGCTGGGTTAGGCAGCTTGGTGGTCATATAAAGTCTGAATCCTTTCATCACATCCACTTCTTTGTCCCCAACTTTCACCTGTGAACATATTACCTTTTAGCACAAAGGCATCATAAACATTAAAACCTATCACTGTTACCACACATGTAACAATGAATGCTGTGCTGGAATGGCCCACTTAAAATTCAGGCCTAAATTTGTTTACTTTTCATCCAGTCCGACTTTGCTTCTGCATTATTCTAGATGAGTAAAGCTTGTGGATATTTACACAAAAAATACTTGTGTAATGTTTGTATGCAGTATTTTTTTTTGCCTGAGTAACACAATCCTCTCATTAAACCCTAATTAATAAAAATAACACTTAGCTCTTTGAAAAAAAAAGTCAAGAAAGAGGCCAAATAACTTCCTGAAAATCTTTTATTTGGAGAATGGTGTTAAATGTATTGCACATACATTTGAGAGCCTCAATAAGCCCTAGGAAGATAGAGATACTCTGAAATAATCCCCGTGTGTATTTGTGCACATAAATATGTGTACATGCACGGCTGCAAGACTGCATTGCCTCTGATCGACACTTAATTACTCATGGCAGTAGATCATCTAATTATCCATCTGTATGTCTGTTCCTGAAGCTGTCAAGCGTAGACACCTTCACTTCCTCCTCAAAGCAGGATATTAATAGAAATAGTCTGAAAGAGACTTCTGGTTGATTGTTGTGTTCGAGGAGCATCCCTGTTGTCAGAGCATGTTTTGTACTGTATCTGATGGCGAGTACCAAGGAAAAATGTTTGCAAGCTGACTGCAGTGACATTTATAACATGACCTTGAGTATGACGTATGATAAAATAGATATACAGTTATGTAAATAAGAAGATTTTACTTGCAGTCAAACTGTGGTCACTATAATTCCCCTCAAAGTAATGACACATTTTACAGATTAATCAAGGCTTTTATGCTTGCAAATAAAATTAAAAATATATAATAATAATAATAATAATAATAATAAATTAAAATAACCTCCAATTTTAAATTAGAAAATATGTGGTTTGAACATTGCATAGCAACTGGAAAGAGGAAGATGTTTCAGTACAAAGCACAAAGACCTAACAGTAAATTCCTAAAAAATTAAGACATCATTTTCAGATTTATTAACAACTAAGATATGTGTGACAGGTTCAGCATAAAAAAAATAAAAAAAAACACTATATATATATATATATATATATATATATATATATATATATATATATATATATATATACACAGCTTTTAACATTGTATTTGCGTCACAAAAAACAAAAAACACACAAAGTATAAAGCGTGGATCATTTTGAAAAGGTACTGAAGTGTGTTTTTTTTTTACATTTCACAGCTGTTAAAACCATTTGGTAGAATCCAGAGAGAATCCCAGGCTTTAATTATGCTGCATAACATACCTACACAAACACTATAATTAAGTGGCACATACCGTGTTTGCCTCTAGCTCCTACATTTTGTACATTTTGTCTATTGTTATTCACATTTCATTGTGCTGTATGTTTAGCTTTAAGTATACTGCTGCAGCAAAACCCTTTCCCATGCTGGTATTAACAAATTGCTTTGTGAGCAAAAACTGAGTTTAGCGATTAGCATATTTGATAAGGGTACAAAAAATAAAAATAAAAAAGAGACGCATACAATAAAACAATCTATCCACTTCTTTATACTCCTTGGCCTTCATCTGAGACGTGATATTTGTTGAGACATTCTGAGATATGAAGGACTGGATGGTGCATCTTAAGATGCACATATTAATCCCAGATTCAGAACAGTTTATCAATAATAGAAAATGTTTTCTTAAGAGGCACATGTCCTGATTTTGAAACAAATGAAGGGAACAAGAAAGAATGAGCTGTTATTTCTGCACACTGTGCATGAAGCCACACCAAAATCATTGAGTTTTAAAATAGCTGATGTTCCTTGTCCCAACAGTCCTTGCACACTAAATCTCCCTCTAAAGGAGTTTATGCTGTGTGGTTTTGTTGAGCAAACATCCATGCATTGCGTTAACCTTTTTGTGTAGTTGTGTTAGCATGGCTAGATGTATATGTAGTGTCATATTATATCTTGACTAACCACCAAAAGGTCATTTCATAATACCTAAGAAAAAAAAAACATGAAAAAACAGGTATTAATTAAACAAAAAACAAAAAAAAAGTTATATAACCTTGTAAGTGGAGCCGGTTTTAATAAAGTTCTTCTCAAGAACGTTGTCAAGGGCAGGGTCCAACTCCTCCCCAACATCTTCAATCAGCAGGGGGCGACCAAGAGACAAACTGTCTTCAAGATGATTTTTAAAGTACTTATGGTTTAGTGACGTAATCTGAAATTAAAAGAGTAAAAAAAAAAAAGATAATTTGTGAGTTACACATGTCCAGACAAAAGAAAATATGGGATTCTATAATGTAGCCTGAATTATTATCAGCAGTAATCAAACTGGATTTTTCTAAGATTCTCATCACAAATATAAGTAAAAACTTACAAAAAGTCATTATGCCCTGATTCTTTTAAAAATATCTTAAGGAAAGCTGATAGAAACACTTTTGGTTTTATGATGTTCAATGTAAGATGGTTTGAAAACTTCTGGTTAAGCTCTGCGCATTGAAAACACTCGTAATGTGCTTTCACAATGCATTCACGCTGCTCAGATATTACCTCTAACAGGTGTACGACCTTGGCTGAGCTCATAATACCTACAGATATACTTTTTCAAATGCGCCGTCCACGCTGGATATTAGAGAGCTAAAAGTAAACAGAATATCTCAAACACAGAATCTGACACTATTTCTTTCTCTAACCTGTAATGCCTGTTACAGAAGAGAGCAAACTCACTATTTTAAACTCAAAGTTAAAATGCTGATATATACGCATGAAAGAATCCAACATTTTCAAATATCCCTTGTATGTTGCCAGATAAAGATCAACTCAAAGTGGAGTAGGTAAATAAGAAGATGATGGTCAACCAAACCTGCAACTCATTTGCAGCTTCTTTGTTTTTAATCCAGATCTTTCCCTGCGTCTGTGGGTCAATAAGCAGAGGGAATCGAGCAGCTTTGGTCACAATTATTCCATTTTGAATGGACAGGTCATCATTGGGAAGGCCCTGCAACAAAGAAAGGATAAGCTCATTCCTGCTGCTATTTATAAGGTTTTCCACTTAATCTTACAGAAAACAGACTATTTAGAACCTTCAAATATTTATGCAACAAACACAAACGTGTTGCTGCACAGCTACAGTTTTGTAGCTGCATCCTTAACAGAAACACAAGGAGATTTTCTTAGTAATTTTTTAAATATTTTTTGTAAAGAAATAATCCCTAGTCTTCAACTGCAAACCATTTTGATGGTCTTTTGCCAGATCCTTGACTAACCTGCAGGTTCCACTCACTAACAGTGGGTGCATCAATAAGAAGCTCAGCCAGATTGAGGCCTTTGGCAAACGGGATGCAACGCTGCTTCAGCTCTCGCTGCCAGTCGCTCAGAAGAAGATTACGAAACTCCTGATTAAAGGGACCAGAATATGAGAGGAACGCTGTGGCCAGAAGGACATCACCTGAAAGACACCAAAGTGACGCTCGCAAATATGTTTTCAAAACCTGAAAAACAGTAAACTGCCTCAGCAAATAAAGATGAAAAAAATTAATGGTTTTAGGTTTTTGTTTTTTGTTTTTTTCCAACGTTTGCCTTGAACAGAAAATTACTGCATACAGTGATATCTCTTCTGATGCACAAAACCCTACATGTTATAAGAAAAAAATATATTTTGTATTGCAGAAATATTGCTTCCATAATATAAAGTGTTAAATCATACATGCAACGTAACCTACCCACAAGGCGTTTGGTTTGGGCAGCAAACTCTTTGCTCTGTTCTGTCCACCTCTCCTTCTCACCAGCGAGGCCACTGATGAGACTGGACGCTGTCTGCATCTTGTGTCTGCAACGCTCAGCGTCCTCCAGCAAAGTCTGGGGGTAAATGGGCCAACAAACAAGTCAGCTTGGCTTGTTCGCGAGTCTGTCCATCTTTGTCTGTTCAACTGTGTTTTCGTCCAACTGTTTTTTTTTTTGTTTGTTTTAGTTGGATGAACTGTATGCATCGTGGACAAGGAGATTTTTCTTAGAAAAAAAATAATAATTCTGCCGCTCGCTGTAAATGTTGCCTGTCTGTCTATTTAGTAGAGAACCAAGCACCCAGTGCAAGCCGGGTTATTTCTGGAAATAAGTAGATGATGTACAATTACGTTCAATTTGATCTGTTTCATTTAATCTGAAAGCTTAAATAACCTGTCCCACGTAAGAACAATCACATCTTATACAGAGCCGATTTTTGAATCATTTAGCAGAATTAGCTTTTCATTTGCTGCTCAAACATCCTAATGACACTGTTCTGAGAGAAGCAGCAATTACACATCAATAAAGATCAGATTAGTAGCACATAAAACGAAACCGCTTCCAAGTATCTTAGTCCCTTTCACCTGTAGTTATACCCATAAATCTCACTGTTGGTCTCTGGAGAAGAACAGCTCTCTGCTTTAATCACACAATTATAAAAGAGGACTCTGGCTTTGCAGTTTTCCTAATCAGGCAATCATGATGCACACGATTTTCTGTTTACATGCTGTATTTCATCAGAGGACAGACAGTTCTGATAATATAAAAACACAAAACTGGCCTTCGGGTGACTCCGACTGAGTCATTCTCTATTTCAGCTGAAGCTCATCCCATGTTTTCAAGCTGCATTTTAAAAGACCTTTTGAATAGTCTTTAACATTACAGCCAACACAAGCATAAAAATACCATGTTTAAAAAGTAATTCTCAATAGTGTTCCTGTGAGCCATCATGAAGCAAAGTCTGGTTATAAATGGCATCAGGTGCTTGGTGTTGTCTTGACAACGCAGGTATACTGGATTGACCAATTTCTAACTTTATTTTCCAAACTATGCTGAAGCAACAATGTTACACTAATCATCAAGCAATCTATGAAACTGCTTTAAAAACATTGGAAATTTAAACGCTTTAATCATATTATATAGTTAGGCAGTAAATATGTACAATATGTTATTTGTATGTGAAGGATACTGGTGTCAAGAATTATCAGGAAATTGTAAAGTGGCCTAATTCAGCACATATCCAGTAGTGACATGCAACGTTGGGTTACCTTTTTAGATCATTCAAATATCAAATTGTGTTAATTTACCTATGTGTGTGATGCTGTGTTTAGTTTCATGATAAAACTAAACCTAAGTTTAGTCAGACTGAAACAAAGTTGCCTAAGCTTAAAAATAGAAAGACAATTAAATTTGTCTATATTTTTAATGACAATGATAGGACTTTTCCATATTTTGTTTTCTTTTAAAACCACTGACCTCAATTCATTTTGGAGCAGCTATAGATAGATCAGCAGTCCAATATTTCACTGCAAAATTAAAAACACCGGCTTCAAAAATTGAAAATAAAAAAAAATAAAAAAGACTAGAGAAGGAAAAGCATGTCATACATTTTATATTTATCTCCCACCTTTGGACATTCAGAGACTAAATTTTCTTTCTGAAATATCTCAATTTCTATCTCAGGCAGATTAGATTTAGAGTGTAAACATAAACGTTCAGGTCTTGGCACAGATTCTCAACTTGACTTGGGTCTAAATTTTGACTCAGCCAATCACATCAATGTGGTTCAATGTGAATCCTTCCATAGTTGTTCTTGGTTTACTTTTAGGTTCGTTTTCCTCCTAGAAGATTAACTCCAGCCACAAAATCACAGCTTTTGCAGTCTCTAGCAAGTGCTCTTCCAGAATTGCCCTGGATTTTGCTCTATGTATCTTCCCATAAATCTTTTACCACTTCCCATCCAAATACCATCAAGCTGTCCTCGAAATGGCTGGCCAGGAGGGTCATGTATTCACATAAAGTGCAGTGGAAGTTTTCTGTTGTACATTTTGTTTTCTGTTCGGGTCAGGATGGTCAGTTTTGGTCTCATCTGACCACATATTTCATGTGCACTCTACATGAATGCTGAAACATTTCAAATGGGACTTTTTATGGCTTTTTTCATGGAGATTTTTTTCTCATTATTTACCTTACACTTCACAATTGTGTGCTGCTTTTCGTTGTGTTAGTTTATCAACAAAATCCAATTATTTTACAGAGGATCAAAAAAAAGAAACAAGTAGTTTTGTCGCAATTTACTATTAACACGTTGTTAAAAAATTTAGTATGAATATATTGTGTGTTCAAGGAGTCGATAAAATGCTGACCTGCTTCTCCATCATGGCCTTCTCATACTCTGCCTGCACAACATCCAGCTCTGACTGTTTGGCATCCAGCTCAGCCTGAGCTTTTTCCAGGTCCACATTGGCTAATGCCAAGCGACTTTCTTGCACCGCAAGATTGGCCTAATGAAAATAAGAAGGGAAAGAACTCGGTTACACTTGCCATCCCCACAGAAAAAGTTGGCAGAGTTTATTTTTTGTTATGCGTTTACATAAAATATGATATATGAAAGAAGCATAATTCTTTTCATTACAGACTTTGAGTCCCCAGAGCTGGAGATATTCAGATTCAAAAGTCCACCAGTATATAAGAGAGAAAAGATAAAGGAGGAAATGTGGAAGCCAAAGAAGAACTGTAAGTAAACATTGAAAGGTTGCCAGAAAAAAGACAAACACAAGAAGCAAACAAAAAAGAACGATCTAAATAGAGGCAAAAGCAAAAATAAAAAAATGAAGTAATGCTGGTGCAATGAATAAGGCACTGAAAATTATTTAGAAACAGAGATTTACTGAAAAGTTGTGAGGTTATCTGTGCTGAAATCTTATTGGTTGGCTTGGCCAAAAGGGAGTCTGCCACTTCCATTCATTATTAATTGACATCGAAAAAGACCATTCATGCTCGTCTGTCTCCCTGTCTGTCGTCTCACAGTCTGGCTGGTTTGCTGAAAAGAAAGCCAGCGCTGAGCCGCAAACCAGAAAATCAATTGCTAGACCATGCTCCATGCTTAAGGAAAAGGTCAGGATGAGAGGCAGCGGGGTTGTTTTGGATGTTGCGGAGCACGAGATGAAAACAGAATATGGGTGTTAGTATGTGCAAGAAAGAAAGTATTAGAAGTAGAAAGAAAGTCGAGGCAGTCGGAAGAGGCATAATGGAAGCAGGAAGAAGGGAGACGCTTCCATTCTATTGAATGTGCAAGGGTGAAGATGAGACACTGAACAGAGAAAATAAGACTAAAAATAAGGCCACTATTACCTAGTAACAGAGAAGAAGAGATGTAAAGGACACTCGGATGAAAAAAATAGAGCAAATAAAAGTCAAAAATTGAACTGTACACTTTTAAAGCTTTAAAATCATTTTCATGCGTTAGAAGATTTCTTTTTCTCAAAACCAGTTCTTACAAGGACAAACTAAAAAAGCAAAACAAAAATTGAGACCGAAAAAGGATGCATTAATCTTTTTATAGAACAAAGCTGAGGTTGGTGGAAAGTGGCCTCCAGCAGCACAGCAAGTAAGCCTCCTTCAGGATGTCTCTTATTGCTACATTTAACTCTTAAGTGAAATAGAGACCACTGCAAACTCTTGCTCTGGTGTTCTATGTGCAGGGAGCTTAAGTAAAACAGACTTTTTTTGCATAACTATATTAACCACAATTACCATACTTACAATTAGTATGCTGTCATCTCAAACTATTATTTGCAGGATACTGACACCGTTTTTAGACTTCAACTGTTTAGTTTGAACATGATTCACTGTTATATCTTGTGGCTTTTATGAGAATGATCAATACAGCATCTATCTGAGAAGTGACTGTATTTAAATCTGTTATTGTCTGCAAATGGCTATTTTTTTTTTTTTTTACCTTATTACACTTTATCAAATGAAGTACAAGCTGTTTATGTAGATGGAAATTGTCACTTCCATTACAATCAAACCTTAGATTTATGAGTTGCAGCCTATATTCTGCCATAAGTGAGTTAAAAATGACTCGTATTAGAATCGATATGTTTTTCATGCCTTTTTTTTTTTTCATTTTGGTTAGCCATAATATTTGTACTATATTTTCCATGATAATTAAAGACTGGTTTCATGTTCACAAAAATCTTGCTTCCAATCTCTAATATGGTTTAAATACATCTGAAATCCCAGTTTATCAGTGTCTTCATAAGAAGGTGTTTCTCAGGTTTTGCTGAATGTCTTTATATCCTGCGCGGCCCCAGCTTCCTCTTTCAAATCTCACACTGAGTATTGAAAAAGACTTTGGCCCAGCTGATATTATTCATGCAGATGAGGTGTGACAGTGGCCTGAAGAATAATAATACTAAAAGGCCCTGACGGTGTTCATCCACGTTTCCTTCAAGTCTGTGCTGACCACCAGAGGATATTCAATTTCTTCTTGTGTCATCAATTTTTTCTTGATTTTGAATCAAAAGTTCTGTCTTGTCCCAATTTCTAGGAAACCTAAATTAACACAGCAGTCATGTCAGGTTTTCAGGACATATTGAAAAGTATGTAAAATAAAAAAAGGTATTTGATATACAAGACAAAAATAAATAATAATAATAATAATAATAATAATAATAATAATAATAATAATAATAAAAGACCCAGCTATGGTTTACAAGACAAAGAAAATAACAAAAGTGGCTAAATTATTCCTCTGCTGACTTGATGCAACCTGCACCTGAATGATGGCACAAATTATTTTAATGTCTCCATAACACACAAAACCCTGCCGGGTTTCAATATCTTCCACTTTTTTAGGTTGAGCTGGCAGAGGATGACATCAACACCAAATCAACCTTACTGTATTCTGTGCACCACAAAGTCAGACAACCATAGAGGCTTTTTTTTTTCTTCTTCTTCTTACCACCCACAGAATAAGACAAAATCAGGACAATGAATGTTTAAACACAAAGATGGCACAGGCAGAAAGTGTCTCACACACTGTGACTGAAACCATAACATTGTCAGAGTCATGATTAAATTATTGCGACACCCGTCCCAAGTGTGAATAACTTTCTGTGTACCTCTTTATAGCCAGTCTGTCCCTCATAGTAGTATAAATAATATTATACTAGTTTTATAATCGTATTTAGTTTAGTAGTTTAATAATACTATTTTTAAAAAAGGGTAAGTGAACAAAATTTGTCCAGTCTTTAAAA